CCGGCCACAGCAATATTAATATCGTTTTTGGGTAGTAGATTTTTGGTTTTTTAATTATATAAATTGTTTTCAAATATGGACTACGCACACTCAATTTTTTTTAATAGGATAAGGGTGACAAACGAGCATACAGTCTACCTGATAGCAAGTGGTTGCTGTGGCACATAGACATCTACATCTATCCTCGATTACAAATCAAAATGCAGATGTGTCGTCACAAGTGAGGACTAAGATGGAATGCCTCAGTTCCAGTACAAAGTGTCTCCGGTTCTCTACACTCACCATTCGAAACACAGCAGCGTTAAGTTGCTATTTTACGCTGGTATTCTGTTAGAGCGTGGTCATTCCCTGGTTGAGCCGACCCATTCGTGCTACAACTATACCACAAAAATAGCTGCAGCATGGCTCTACCACGTCAAGACCAATGAATCCGTCTATTTAAATGGTACATTGTTTTAATTGGTAGTTAAACCATCAAGAGCAGAGCCATTTTTCTTTTTTACACGTCAACCGTCAATGCCTATACGGAAAGTCGCCCGATTCTGGTACGAGCGCTATTGTAAACTATATCTTTTTAATTTTGTATAACTGCTATATATAAAACTTATACGTATTGAATTGCTATGAAATATGCTATTTCATTGTATGTGAATTACTGCAATTCTACTTTTAGAAATATTATTAACAAATATTATTAATTTGCCGGATTATTGTATATAAAGTGTAAGGAGTATGAAATTAAACCGTTATGTAAAGAGGTATTTATTTTATTTGTATAACAATACAACATTCTATCAAAAGAGATATAGTGTAAAAAAGTCACACATATGAAGATATTTTTTCAACTTACAAGCTTTTTAAGTTCTACCTCGTTTTATGTGACAAAAAAAAACCAAAAGGGTAAGTTTATTTTTATATTCTGAGAGTTCTGTGGGACGACTGGCTTGCGATAATAGTTTATGTTTACGTTTGTCTTAAATACTTATCACGAAAACGGTACAGTTTTAAGGAGTGTTTAGTTGAATATTTATGGACATAAACAAACAACATTTTTTACGTGGTAGAGCCATTCTGCAGCTATATTAATAGTATAGTTGAATCACAAATGGGTCGGCTCGACCGAGGAAGGACCACACTCTCACAGAATACCAGCGTAAAATAGCAGCTTAACGCTGCTGTGTTTCGTATGGTGAGTGTAGAGAACCGGAGACCTTTTTTACTGGACAAGAGGCATTCCATCTTAGTCTTCACGGGTGACAACGCATCTGCATTTTGATTCTTTATAGAGGACAGATGTAGATGTCTATAGGTCACAGCAACGACTTACCATCAGGTGGACGGTTTGCTCGTTTGTCAACCTCTTCCAATAAAAAAACATAAAAATAATAACTTAAAGAGGCCATTCACACTTCAGGTTGCAAAGAAAACTTAAATTTGTTCTAAATATAAATTAATTTTATACTTTTAATGAAGTAACAAGTACAAACTATATTATAAAAAGACATCTCTTTATACAATAAAAACAGAAATTTACATTAAAAAACAGACAACTTCACTGCAAAAAGTGCAATACTGCTTAAATAGTATGAATAAAATATGTAAATACATCTCAATACTAAATTTTTTTCCAAATAAAATGTGACTATAATAACTATACATTTTAATTCCATTAGGGTTATAGTGTAAAAAAAAAAACTATTGGCAAATCCAATTGTGCATGTACTAAACACATTAAAAAAATTACGTATAACATGATAATACAGATTTTTTTTAAATTGTTAATTTTCACTAATAACCTTATTATATTTCCAATTTTCCAATAATTTTACATCGAACTTCAATTTACAAAATTTTGGAAAAACCAAATGTGCCACGACTCATAATGCTTAAATGATCATCATTTCATCATTGAGGTCACTCCATAAAATCCAAGACGTATTTAAGTATAAATATACACATCCTCCTTACTTTAAGTACTTACTACTATTATTTATTATGTACTTTTAAAATATTGTAATAAAAATCTCTGATTATTATAATAATCAAGTATGAATGAAATTTGGTTTTTCGAATATTTTGTATTAGTACAGCGGTCTTTTTGAGCTGCTGCAAACAACCGATACAGTATCCACTCACGACGGCGGTTGACGCCGAAGTGACAAGTGAGTGAGGCAGTCTATTTAGTAAAATAAATTAATACAAGGCTGCTCAAACACTTAATATTTCGACATTTTGCAGCCGAAAAAAATTAAACTGTCATTTACATCCCATGGCTTCCCACATAATAGATGAAGAGAGTAAAAAATAGATTGAGTTAAACAATTGACACTTTTAAAAGTTATAGTGTTTACCACTCCATGCGGACTTGATAAATCTACACCATAAGCCACTAAAACCACTTTTTTATATAAAAATAGCAATTAGTCGATTTAAAAAATATTAATAAGTTCAACAATAATTTATCTTTCTGACAATGTGCTTTTTATATCATTTACTCGTATATGTTCAATATTATTGTTAAATACGATTTTATGTGACAAAACGTTGGAATCTTGATTTTTAGGCGCTAGTAAAACATACCTACAAGCTTTATTCTAAAGGCATGCAATATATAATAAGTGATTTAACTATATAAAAAAGTAGTTCGCAATTCGACAAATTAAATCTTGTATTGTTTGAACATAAAATTAGAATAACTATAAATTTTTATTTCATTATGATTAAATTGTTAATAAAATAGATTAGTCTCGAAGAGACTGAATAACTAGCAAAGAGGCTGCATACTTACTCTGATTTTCTCCTTTAACCATATTCCACACCTGAAACAAAATTATTTTAGTCACTTTTTGTTCTAGTAAGATATATACACAACGATTGGCGATAATGAGGATAGTGAGTTAATGTGGGTTGGGGAATGATGATAATACCTATTTCTAGTGTATAGTAATGACTTACCTGCCCTTGTAGGGGATTCTCATAATATAGTTTTATTTGCTGATGATACTTACTTGATTTTTAAACTTAAACGTCAATCATTTATATTTGACGAAGTGAATAATACTATATCAAAATTAGTGCGTTGGTTTAACGTTAATAATCTACATTAGAACGGAAATAAAACTAAACCTATTAAATTTACAACATCGAATAATAAAATCTGAATATCAATATATTTTAGGCTGTGTACGTAAGGGCAAGTGACGCCAGTGCCAACGATATGCCGGTGTGTAATGTAAACCATACTACGCACTTGCATGAGATGCCGGTGAGAACGTTGAGTCGGAGCAAGTGCCAGGGATTGCCTTGTAGTCTGCTGTGAGTCGAGAAGAAGGCAAGTAATCTGCGAGAATGCCGTGAGGCAGAGGCGAGCAGTAAGGCTCAGAGCCGTGCCGAACACTATAGCGCAAAGAGTAGATGAATGGAACAGGAAGCATTATTATTCCAGTGTTGCAATGAACCTTTGTAAAGCTAGATGGCTTGCAGAATGTGAAGACTGCAGATAATATCTGCTCGGGAGCGAATGAATGGGGTACTTGAGGATGATGACGAAGGTTTGTAGTTGTAGTTTCCGAAGGTTGTTGGTTGCGTGTTCATATGACGTGGGTTGGTCACCACTGTAGCCGGTAGAAGGAAAAGGAGAGATCTCCCGCCGGGCAAGTTGTTCTGCCCGGGGAGCGGTCAACGCTCCGAGTAGTAGTTCTGCCCGGGGACCGGCCCAATACTAAGCGGCCTAGACGTACTAAGTCTATAGCTCATACTCAGTGCTATACAATTCGTTGAAATTATCACTTATCACGGAAATAAAAAATAAAATAACTAGTAACCTTAAACAGCTGGAAGAATCGCATAACAGTTTGCTAAATGACTACAACAATCTCAAAAGTAATTTTGAAAAACTTCAACAAAATATCCAAGATGGCGAAATGAAACTGACGGATTTATGTGCGCAAATAAAAAAAGAGCAACAATGGGGCAGGCTTTCGAACTTAGAGATTGTTGGTCTACCTGAAAACTCAAAAGAATCAATTTCTGAATTAACAATCAAAATAGCCAGCCATGCAGGAATTAAGCTTACCAATGATGAAATTGTTTCTGCGCACAGAGTCCAGCCTATGCAGAATGTTGGAGGTCGCCCAAAAAACATTATAGTCAAACTTCAGAATCGCACTATTAAAGATAATATTATTTCAGGGCTACGCAAAACCAAAGGAATTACTACTTCTGATATTGAACTAGGTGGTCCAGCCAAAAGGTTTTTTGTTCATAAACACTTGACCCCTGAGAATAAGCAACTCTTAAAGACAGTAAAATCACGATCAATGGTCAAACCATACAAGTTTGTCTGGGTGAGAAACTGCCACATTTTTTAAGGAAAAACGAGGAGTCTCCTGCTATCACTATAAATTCCGTAAAAGATTTATTAAAAATTGTATGATAAGATTAATTTTGATAGTACTAGCATGCTATGTTTTAATATTAATAGTTACTTATTTAACACATAAAACAACCCTCACAATTTACTCATTCATTACTACATACATCAAAATCTTACATTCACACACATCTTTTAAAATTTACAGTAATACTGAATATTTACACCAATATGCCCTACAAAAGAAATGTATAAGCTACCATTTATTACCTTGTACAAAAAGAAAATTCCTGTCTGTTGCAAAACCATCCATCATGATTCCTCAATCTGTATTACTTCTGTTACAGAATATAATTATTATCTACATTACTATTAAATATTATGATAAATATAATTTTTATAAGTTAATTACAACACAATGGTACCTAAATCATGCTAAAAGTGCTTGCGAACTAAAACTAAGCAATTTCGAGACAGTATAATTTGTAATAATTTCAACATAATACTCATTACTGAAACTTGGTTAACTGATGGTATTTACAACGGTGAATTGTGTGACAAAAGGTACGACATATTTAGGTATGATAGAAATAAAACATCTTCGCATAAAGAGAAGGGTGGGGGAGTTATGATTTGTACGTACACACAATTAGAAGCGCAAGAACGGACAGAATGGATGTGTACAGATCTCGAATGTTTGTGGGTAACAGTACCAGGAAAATATTTAAGTTGTCAAGACAGACATAGTTTACACATTGGAGTTGTTTATATACCGCCCGATAATTATCAATCAAAGCGTTTAGATAATTTTATAGAAATGCTCACAAAAATCATAACTCAATATCCAAATGATCACTTTATAGTTGCCGGTGACTTCAACCTAGCGAATATATCCTGGTCCTCTTCAGGTCCCGTCATGCTTAAGCAAGGTCCAGTAGAATTACAAAATGCTGCAGTAAAGTTAATTGATCTATGCAACTTATCTGGGCTAAATCAACATAATATTATCAGCAACTATAGTGGCAACGTACTAGACTTAGTGTTTAGTAACATAAACATAGACGTTACCCGTTCTCAAATATATCTTGTATCTGAGGATAAATATCATCCTTCTTTATTGCTTGACGCATCTGATCTTTCAATACCCTGTTTAAAAAATAAACCACGATCAAAATTAAACTTTTATCGAGCTGATTATGATAAAATAAATAAAACTTTCTCAGAAGTCAACTGGTCTACCTTGTTAATTGGCAACTCAATTGATGTCGTAGTTCAAAATTTTTATTCCCAACTAAATCTAATAATTGATAAACTTGTACCTACTTGTTTATCGCGTTCATCTAATTACCCTGTATGGTATCCTAAATCACTAAGGCATATTATTCGAGAAAAGCTCTTAAAACATAAAAATTGGAAAAAGTATAAAAATCCTCGTGATTATGATGAATTTTGCATACTACGTACTAGACAAAAGAAATTACAGAAACAGTGCCACGAGCGCTACTCAGATAAAATTCAAAGTCTCTTAAAAAATGATCCTAAAATATTATGGTCTTATTTAAAATCTATACGTAATAGCAACTCTACATATCCTAATACATTACAATTAGGAAATGAATTATACACAAATGAAACGAACGTGTGTGCGGGATTTAATAAATTTTTTGAAAGTGCTTTTCAAAAACGTTCTTCTTCTTACGATTATTCCCATATTCCAAACGTTGAATCAAACGATATATTACATAATATATACTTTAGTACCAAAAATGTTTCTCGTATTCTACATACACTTAAAACCAATACAGGGCCTGGTAGTGATGGCATACCTCCCCTATTTATTCATAAATGTGCAAAACACTTGGCCAAGCCTCTCAATAATCTTTAATATGTCTGTTAACACCTATGGAGCATTTCCTAGTAAGTGGAAAGAAGCTCTAATAATACCTATACATAAGTGTGGATCAAAAAACAGAATTGAGCACTACCGCCCAATCTCCATATTAAAAACATTTGGAAAGATTTTTGAAAAACTTATCTTTATACCAATTAGTCCTAAAATCTTAAAATCAATACCAAATGAACAACATGGTTTTATAAATAAAAGATCAACCGTAACAAATTTGGCTATTTTTACCAATTATAATGTTATTTAATCTTTTTCGATTACAACTTTTTCATCCGTCGTGGGTGTTTTTCAAAATTTATAATTTTGCTTTTTATTTTAGACTTTTTAGAGAACTAAGTTACTCGCGTGTAATATCTGATCTAAATCTACGAAAACTCTGCCACAACCCACACAATAGCATAGCGTTGGAAGAGTTAGAGCGATTGAGAAGCACGCTAAGCGGGTCGCAAATCTCAAAAGCTGAAGAGAGGCTACAAAGCTGTATTTAATCTGGACCTGTTATTATGGCATTAACATAGTGATCACTAAGAACCTTAAATTCATTTTTCCATTCTGTTTCGATTTTCTGCATTCACCTCAAAACTGGATATTTTACATCACCTTTATTTCCATAGGATCCTGTAACGATTTTAAACCATAAGAACACAATAACAAATCATTTCTACTTCGTATTTTCACATTATCAGCACTTTTAAATTGACCTTTTTTCCTTTTTTCGATCTTTTAGCTAATTTTCCGTAACTCTACAATCTTGAGCTTTGTGTGGGCAGCTGCGCTACCTTTTTTCCTATATCAATAATATCTCATTTTCCACTTAAATCTTACCGTTTTCTTATTATAAACCAAAAACAAAAATTTGACATGTTTTGTCTTTCTTATTTATATCGTTTCCATGGTAATTATATTCAAATTTGCTACCGATCTGTTATTCCTATTTCGATAATACCACATAAATCCTCTTTTCTCTTGACCATTTACAAAAAATTTGCGTATAATTTAAATAATTTTTCCGTTCTCTCTAGAAAGGTATAAAAGCCGAACAATCGGTGAAGAAAGGCAGTCTCGCTTCAGTTCGCGAATTGGAAGTATCTCCTAAAGGCCTTATCCCGGGGCCGCACTGCCCCGGGATCCTGCAAGCCTCCATTTACACGTGAAGTCATCGGCGAAGCCTTCTTCAAACTCGGGCCGCGCCACTCCGGAATTCTACAAGCCTCCATCTACCTCGGAAGTCGCTTCGAGTCTACTACAAGCGCGGGGGCCACACTACTCCGGGCACTACTACTACTTACTCCAGGCGCCGAGTGCACCTACCGCCGGCGCTACCTTTGGGCGCTGCAACTGCTGGCTCTAAGCGTTGCGCGCCCCTTCTCCAGGCGCTACGTGCGCCGGCTCCGGACGCTGCGTGTACTGGCTCCAGGCGCTGCGCGCCGTCGCTGCTAAGAAACCTACTTATACAAGCGCAAACGTCGTGTGCTGGCTTCAGGCGCTGCGTGCCGTCGCTGCTAAGAAACCTACTTCTACAAACGCAACGTGTGTCGCTTCGACTTTTAGGCCCCACTACAACACTATATTCCCCTATTCTCTCACCTTTATTTTTTTTATAATCTAATTGTACTCTCACTTCATTCATCATCATCCTCATTTCATTTTTTTATAAAATTGTAAATACCTTTTATAAATTTAAATATATTGTTTTCTGGCTCTACTTTTGTTGTTTTGTTGTACTTAGGTTAGGTTTTATTTTTTTTAATTGTCGCTTCACGACAATATATATGAGAGATTTCTGCTTATATATTAACTCATCACGATATGCCTAAAACCGTAAGGCCTAGATATTTGAAAGGAAGGACTTAGGATATTCCTTTCACCGAGTAGAGGTCAGCTAAGAAGAAAGAAGAGGTTGCGGTAAAAAAAAGTTAATTTTTAAATTATAGCTCTTATAGATATATGAAACTAGGAAAGAACATTCCTTTCGGCAGGTTAAATTTACTAGTAATGAGGTTTATGAACTTCCATCCACAAAGAGCAGTGCGGGGGCTTTAAAAAAAATTAAACTTTTAATGTCGCTTTCCGCCGTCTGTACGCCTACATCTTTTAAACTGCGTAACAGATTTCGATGTGGTTTTTATTAATAGGCAGAATGATTTAAGAGAAAGGTATTAATGTATTACTATATATATATATATATATATATATATATATATATATATATAATTCTTCCGTTCGTGTGTATGTCCCTGAACTCCACCTAAACGGCTGGACGGATTTTGAAGAAATTTTGTGTGTGTGATTAAATTAAATTGACCGTTTAGATTCACAGTAGGCCCGGTAGGTGGCGCTGTTGACGAAATCCAGAAATCACCCGTTCGATGCCGGGGCAGATCGCTAGTATGTTATAAGATATCGACAACCGCATCTAAATCTGTGGAGCCGTCTCGAGGAAAAAATTCGCTATTATTGCAGTGCCCCCTGGCGAGCTAATACTATAATACCTATCTAAGAACCATTGCAAATGAGCCACAAACCCTTTACAGGAAACCGTATCGAAATCTGTCAAACCGTTTTGGAGATAAATGGCAACATTCGTTTGCACCCTAAATGTTCATTGCAGCGCCCCCTGGCGAGCTAACACCATAACATTTACCTAAGGACCATCGGTGATAAGTCACAAACCCTTTGCCAAATACCGTACTGGAATCGGTTAAGCCGTTTTGGAGATCAATGGCAACATTCGTTTGCACCCTAAATGTTCATTGCAGCGCCCCCTGGCGAGCTACCACCATAACATTTCCCTAAAAACCATCGGTGATAAGTCACAAACCCTTTGCCAAAAACCGTACTGGAATCGGTTAAGTCCTTTTGGAGATAAATGGCAACATTCGTTTGCACCCTAAATGTTCATTGGAGCGCCCCCTCGTGAGCTAACACCATAACATTTACCTAAGAACCACCATAACATTTACCTAAGAACCACCATAACATTTACCTAAGAACCATCGCTGATGCGTCACAAACCCTTTGCCAAAAACCGTACTGAAATCGGTTAAGCCGTTTTGGCGATAAATGGCGACATTCGTTTGCACCCTAAATGTTCATTGGAGCGCCCCCTCGTGAGCTAACGCCATAAAATTTACCTAAGAACCATCGGTGATAAGTCACAAACTCTTTGCCAAAAATCGTACTGGAATCGGTTAAGCCATTTTGGAGATAAATTGCAACATTCGTTTGCACGCTAAATGTTCATTGGAGCGCCCGCTCGCCAGCTAACACCATAACATTTACCTAAGAACCACCATAACATTTACCTACGAACCATCGCTGATAAGTCCCAAACCCTTTACCAAAAACCGTACTGGAATCGGTTAAGCCGTTTTGGAGATAAATGGGAACATTCGTTTACTCCCTAAATGTTCATTAGAGCGCCCCCTCGCGAGCTAACACCATAACATTTACCTAAGAACCACCATAACATTTACCTAAAAACCATCGCTGATAAGTCACAAACCCTTTGCCAAATACCGTACTGGAATCGGGTAAGCCGTTTTGGAGATAAATGGGAACATTCGTTTGCACACACAAACAAACAACCTCTCACTAAACGCATACACCTTCTCTGTTCCGTCGCGGGTAGAAAAGGGGCTTCGGTTCTCGAAACTTACCAGACAAAACACAGAAGCATTATGCTGCTATTTTATGCTGGTATTCGGTTAGAACGTGTTCCTTTCCCGACCGAGTCGACCTATTTCTTTTACAATTAAAAAAAAACATTTTCTATACATCTATACAAATGAATAAAATAATTGGAGTATCTGTTTCTAACGTCAAAGTTTTTTACTTAAGGCCTTAACAGTGGTTGAAATGCCTAAATCTAGGATATTTAAGTAAAAAAAATCTCAATAACTGTTCATTTAATCCACAAAGAAAAAATACAGGGTAACAGAAGAGGATTTGGTAAATGATTTTAATTTAACAAAATTGTATTTTTGTCAACCCCTTATTATAAAAAAAAAATTCCCAAAGAGTACCTATTTTTGTCATATTTTGCAAAATTTCTCCAAAACGGCACAGGCTTTTTAAATAATTCTTACACTAAAAAAAAGGTCTTAAAAATATTAATATTTTTAATTGAGAGTTTTATTTTCTTTTATTTTTATTACCCGTTTTATAAGAGAATATATCATTTTTCCCTCAAATTGAATATATTTACGCGAGCGCGCATTCTCCGTCGCCATGTAAGCTCTGTCACAGTCCGTTTTCGGACATCGTCGAGGGTGGACTGCACGTCGGTGTGGGAGCGACTTCGTTCAAAAATATATTAGTTTTTTAAAAGTTTATACTCAATTATAAATAAGTATATGACTAGAAATACTTAATTTAGTTAATATCTGTACACTGGTAACTGTAAATATTATTTTCTAAATAAATGAAATGAAAGTGCCCAAAGAAGAAGAAATTTTCGCGGCGACGTTGATTATTGAAATTGAAAAATGCATTTTTATATAATTTAGATGTGGAACGACGAACATGCTCTCGGTACTTAGATTTCGATAGTTTTTAATACCTATGTAATTTTATTGTTGCATATTTTTATTAATTAGTTGATACTGAATTTTATAATTATGTATTACAATAAAACGCTGTTTTTATGAGTATGACTTTATAAAATATTATTGGGGAGGGAAATAAAGATACAGATACTTACATTTAGGTACACTGTTATCAAATTAAATCAAACAATTTAAATAAATAAAAGAATGGTGCTTACCTAAGTATAAATAACTATATAAAGACATTCTTGGGTGTATGGTTTTTTTTTATGTTAGACAAACTATCATCTAAAAAATTTAAAAATTTTAAATTGGAGAGGGGTTTCTCTACGTGATAATGTTAGAAATGAAGATATTTGCATCAGAACCAGAGTAACTGACATAGCCCAACGGAATATTACAGTGAAATGGCAATGGGCTAGCTATATAACT